AACCCAGGGCCTCGTGCAGGCTAAGCACGTGCTCTACCACTGAGCTCTACCCACTTCACCATAAAATGGAAAACTTACTCAGCGATGGGAAGAAATGAGCTGTCATAAACGGGAATAGAATGTTTTCCAGGGGTTGGGGGGTTGTTGGGGAGATGAGATGCTAGTCAAAGGGTCCAGGCCTTCAGCTGTGAGGTGAGTGAGTTTTGGGGAATCTATGTACAGCACGATGCCTCTGGCTGTCCGTCCTGTTCTGCAGTGTACACTTGTCATTTTCTAAGAGTAGATCTTTAGTGTTCTGACTACACACAGGAAAAGCTAACTTTGTGAGGTGACAGGTATGTCCATCAACCTGCGAGTGGTAACCACAAAGTGTATGTCTATCCAACCATCATGCTGTGTACACTTTAAATATATACAGCTTCATCTGTCAGTGACATCTCGGTGGATATATTGTGGGTATCAGACCACAGACAGGAAGTAAGGAATCTTAAATGCACGTCACCACGTGGAAAAAGCCAGTGTGGGAGGCTGCATTCTGTACATCTCCAACTCCATGACATTCCAGAAAAGGCAAAACTACGGAGACCAAAAAAACCTCTGCGGTTGCCAGGGGATGTGGGGAGGGAGAGAGTGAACAGGGGAGCTGAGGGGCAGAACTCTGGTTAGTGTCCCTCCAATTACTCTGCCAGCCTGCAACTGCACTGAAAACAACTGGGTCTACTAAGAAAATAAAGATGTGCGCGAGAGGGGCCCAATGTGGTGGGGAGGAGCTCCTGGGGGATTCGGGGAGCGGAGGCTCGAGAACCAGCACTGCTGACAGATATGGGTTCCTGTGATCCGACAGGGTTCTGACAAAGGAAGGTTAACTGCCTTCCAGATTCAGTGCAAATATTAAAGTCGTGGGGAGTGAAATGTAGTCATAAATATAACCCCAGGTCTACTTTTTGCACAGGATAAACAGAAGAAAGCACCAGCGGGAACAGGCGAAATGAAAGATGTGGGGGGACAGAAACGTCCCAGAATTCTCGGCGTCTCTGCAGCCTCCTTATGATCTGAAGGCACCTTCCATGGAACGTGTGTGCTCTGGTTGGAGGGATTCCCTTACCAAAGTCGTACAGCGTCACACCTCCTAACGCGCCTCTGGGGGGGAACCTCACCCCCAGGCTGTGGGTGCTGTCAAGGTGGCCGGAGGTGGGGACGTGGGGCCCGGGAGGGAGAGGCTGAGCTCCCTTGGGGGCCTGATGTGGCCTCCAGAATCAGAAATGGATGCCTGTTACTTCCAGGAAACACAAAACACAAAGCCAAGCAGCAAAAAACAAATGACAAAGTGTGGGTAGGGGGAGAGCACCAGTGTGGAACCCACTACAGGTGCAAGACACACCTGTCCTCAGGAGTCCTGGGAGCCACTGTGAGGCAGGTGCCATCATCCCGACTTCACCTGCAGATACCCTGAGGGCTGGAAGTCCCCCAGCTATGGGGTCGAGATTAGGCCCTGACCGTGCCTCCCCACCTGGCCAGCTGTCAATCTCCCTGGAGTGGAGTGTGAAATGGGCCTGGCCAACTGCTCAGCAGCCAGCCAGTTGCTCCTCGGGGTGCTGGGGTGCATTCACGGCTTTCCTTTGGGGACCTCTGCTGCCCGTGGACCCGTGGTCTCTGATCCCAGGTGGGGCATCACCTGATGATGGTGTGTTCTGAAATCAGGGTGGGTGGGGTGGGGGCTGCAGACACATGGCCTGTCTAGGGGCAGCCAGTGTTGGGAAACTGAGAACCCGCAGGCCGGGCCAGCACCCACTGCGGGGCAGGGATCAGCCACGGGCAACTCCGTCACCCATCGTGTCTCTGGTGGCTATGTGGCAGGCTGGTGGAAGCCACTGCATCTAAAAAAGGGAAGGATGTGCCTGGTCTGACTCGCTCTTATGAAGACCTCGGGGTTCCAGCTGTTCGAGGACCTCGTTTCCTTCGGAGCAGCTGGGCGGCCCCTGCCCCCCTGCCAGTGCCCATGCCCGGGTGGACGGTCAGGGAGGTGGGCTGCCTGTCCCGCCACCAGCCTCCATCCGGGAGAGAACAGATCAGACGGGCTAAGGCATCCTGTTTTCTCTGCTGTCATGAGCTCATCTGCCTTTTCTGTCCTCCTGACTTCACCGCAATGCTGTCTGCACCACAGGCGGCGGCCATTCATCTTTTCAGGGCGTGAACCCTGGCAGTAGGGCCCCTCCCAGATCCGTCTGGAACCCGACGCGTGCGCACTGTCTCCCGTTCGGCCCCTGCCTTGTAGCCACAGGAGGCCACCACAGACCGCCGCCTCTTCCTCCTCTTTGAAACTGGCCTGGCCCAGCACTTCCTGCTGGACCGAGACACATCCACAGACGATGCAGCCGCCTTTGCAGGCATGGACTTCCTCTTCGAGGCAACAGTGACGCCTCTTCCAATGCCCAGAGCCGGTGCCTCCCGCACTCAGGCGACTGTTCTGTAAGCGCCTGGCTGGGATGTAGCTTTAACTCCCACCGTGCCAGCCCCGATGCCCGCCCTGGGCCAGGTCCCCAGCACTGAGGGCGCTGTCCGATCCGCCCCCTGCGGTGCTCAAGGCACCTGGACTCACAGACCAGCAGCCACGCTGGGGGCTCTGTTCCCCCTCCTCACCATCTACCTACCGCTGCCCTGCAACCTTAATTTGGACTTCTTGGTGGTCTTATCACTTTTCCTGCACTTTTAAATCAGGAGGATGACCCCAGCTAATCTACTGGCGAGGCCCCGGCCCCCCGGTCCACACTGCACGTGGTGTCCTCTCTGGTCTTGTTCTGCCTCCACTGCTGTCTCTTTTGTAGCACCTGCTCTTCTCTCTACAGCTTCCACGATCATCGTCTGGTCCCTCTGGGGAAAGAGCATTCTGCTCCCTGCGGGAGGAGACAGGCAGGGGTCTGGGCCGTCCCACCCTTGCTTATTCAGAGCAGGTGAACTTCTACTGGTTTCCTTTCATGAAAGGGCACTGGTGATAAAAAATATTTGAAAATTTGAAAAACACCGATGTGTAAGTACAGCAAAGACTTTCAAAAGCAACTGAAGAAACCCAGGGGGGAGGGTACAGTTCAGTGGTAGGGTGGGTGTCTAGCACGCACGAGGTCCTGGGTCCAATCTCCAGTACTGCCATCAAAATAAAATAAGTAAGTGAACCTAATTACATCCTCTCTGCAAATACATTTAAAAAAGGAAAAGAAAGAAAAATCCCAATTCTTTATTCTCTGCCCCAAATGCCCCAGGCCACTGCCCCCAACCCCTACTACACAGACGTGCCCTCCAAGTCCTCCCACCATTTCCCCGGCTGATCCCAGGCTTCTGTCACTTTACATCACACTCACAAAGGGGCACTGGCACCCCTGCTCCTCTGGCCAAGAAATTCAAAAGTAACCGACTCCCACCCAGTGAGGTGCCCCCCATCTGATGTCTCTACTCCCCAGCATGTCTCCTCCCAGCCTGCGGCCACAGCCGGCTGTCCAGTGTCCAGCAAGAAGAGCTGGAAGCTACCCTTGGACACAACCCAGCACACCAGGGGCTGCTTCCGCTCGGTCCGGGGCAAGCATGTTGACACCCAGTGTGTGCACACGGGACACTGTTACACACGGACTCCCTCAGACTCCCAATTTCAGGAAGAGACTGGGAAACAGGGTGAAGGGGAGGAAGAGGACGGGAAACGGCTCCTCTAGACATCAGTCATTACAGAAGCCTCTGATTTCGGAACAAGGATGTGCCTCTTTTCTGAGCCACAGCCCGGGGTGGCTCTCAGGGCCCTGGAAGGGAGTGCTGACCCCCAAGGGACTCCTGATCTTCTCAGAGGCAAGCTTCGCTTTCAGATCAAAATGGATCATCTTCACATTCCTACCATAAAGGCCCGGCTTTTAAATCCATGTGTTTTTGAGGAACGACAGACACAGTGACTGTCACAAAGCTCCTGGCTGCAGGTCCCCTCTGCCCCTCAGAGGCTGGTGACTCCAGAGACTGGCTTTGGCCAGGTGTCTGGTCAGCACCCACTGAGCAGAGGGAGGTCTCCCGGGGGGTGATCCCCACTCAGGGTGGCCAGCCTCCCCTCCCGTCACCGCTACCACCCTGCTGCTCCTCATCCACACTGGCCTCCCACGGGTGACCAGCTGAGCCCAGTGTCCCCTGGCCCACACCTCCAGGCCCCCTGACTGCGGGTCACCACTCCCACCACCGCATGGGCCAAAGCGGGCGGCAGGCAGACAGGCACCCGCCTTGTCCAGCTTCTCACTCCCCTGGCCTATGTCCCATGCCCCCCGGGACGATACAGGGGCCTCCTCCCCTCCAGCTAGAGTGACCTGGGTCCTCAGCTGTCCCGGGCAACCAGGCGAGACAGCTACTGGACCCTGTGTGGAGTGGAAAGACGGTCACATTAAGGGTCTCCTATGGGTCGAGAGGACAGCCATTGCATCACTTTCTCAGGGGAAGCAGAGGTGACACCCCCCGAACACCCATCTGCAACCCCCCATTCAGGGGGAAGGAAGTTTTGGGCATTTTTCTCTCTCAGATGAACAGAGAACAGCCAGCTGCTGAGCAGACGCTGCAGTCCCACCTCACCACCGAAGTAAGGGACATGAGGAGGCACTCACGAAGGCTCACTGCTCGTATGCAGGCATGACGCTGGACACCCAGCACTGTGACCACCTCTCCCATGGGTCCTGCCCCACTGGAGACACGGCCCCCACTGTTCTTGTCAGCAAGACGCCGTGGGATTCCCGGTGCTGACAAGAGCCAGTGCCAGATGGTCCCTAACACAGTCATGGTTTCCTGGTCTGAAAGAGGTGGCCTGTGCCCCGTGCGGAGCCCCAGGGTGGCGGGGTGTGAGAGGAGACGCCCGTGGCACTGCTGTCCTCCCCCGGGGCCAAGGTCTGAGGACAACGTGGGAAGTGACATGGACTCTTAAGACGCCATGGATGCAGATGCTCCATCCCCAAGGACCACAAGCAAAGTCAAGTCAGAAGACACACTTACTGGGGAAAGTTGATTTCATATTTTCACGTGTGAAATTCCAATTCAACTATACATGCACAGTATTATGTCATTTTGGTAACACAGGGACGCAATTTAATGATTCTAATTTTTTTGTAAGTTGTTTTTAACAAGTCAGGTGCCATAAACATTCAAATAATCCATCTTTTAAAAAGTACGTTTACAACATCAAAAGAATTTAGATGAAATATAAACCTTTCTACTTACAATTTTTATACAGATTAACCAAATCACAAATGCCACAAACAAATGTTAAGTTGTAACAATATAATGAATAAACATTCAGATTCTTCATAAAATCTTCCTTTAACATTTTTCACCTGACCACTGTACTGGATAGCCTATTCAGAGTCCTAGGCTACGATACCGACAAGGCACCGACCGTACAAAACAGAGACAAAGCCGTTTCGGAACTCGCCTGGGCGCTCTACACAGATAAACAGCTCGGAAAACAGGCAGCGACCTTCAGGTGAAGCCCCTCCGGACCCTGCTGCTCCTGGCACGCGGCCGGGCCGCAGTGAGACCAGGCCTCACTCTGCTGGGACACGCTTGCTCGTCTGCACTCTGGAGGCACCGTGTTTCAAACACCAGCACGGCGATTTTAAAGCATGGACGCTTTAAAACTGTATAAGCAAAAGGACTCCTCAGATTTTCAAAACCACTACGGTTACAAAAATATTTCCCTTAAACTTGGGATTGCTCCAAAACATTGGTTTACAAATATAAAAGGATTATGGAAGGACCCAAAGCATGTGTGCATTAACATACTGTTACCATACTATATAAAAGTTACCAATTTAAAAATCGTATTAACACAGAAGCAAATAAAGGTAAGACAGTCTTCTCTGAATGGTGCGACCGGGACGGGTGCACGGCACGGGCAGTGCGCCTGACTCAGGGCCGCCGACAAGCATGTGCGCCCCGCACGCCCAGCGCTGCGCCAGCAGCGGCGGGCGCTGTGTGAGCGCCCCGCACACCGCACGCCACCCACGGGCCCGGGTTGGCGTGACTCTGCCAGCACAGCCGTCCACCCCACTGGCTGGCCGGGCGCTTTGTTTCATACTCAGCGGGAAGACTGGAATGCTTCGGCAGGGAAGTTTTGCTTACATTTTAGACACCGCAAAAGCCATCAGTCTGAGCTCTCTGCACACCCGTAACGGAGGCCTTCAGGATCATCGCCGTGAATTCAGACGACCCAATCTGTCCATTTCGAGGGGTGCAGGAAGATCCAAGTGAAGGGCCTACCGCACGTGACACCTTGTGCCTCTCACAGGTACCCGGGTGAAGACAAGTCTCTGCTCTGTGAAGCCAAGTCTGGCACGACCAGTGAAAAGCACACAACCGCGGCCACAGCGGTGTGGGGCACGGCCAGTGGCTTCACGCCGCCCTGACTGCAGGTCACCTCTGGGGTGGGAAGAGCCCCCTCCCCAGGTGTTAGTGGCCAAGGCTATGGCTTTCTAGTTAGAGGGCTCAGTTAATCTCCTAGTAACTCTAACCTTCCTTTTAAAAAGTACAAAGAAACGAGAGCAACAAAACTGTCAACGTTCCTTTCAAAATGAAAATAACTCTTCAATGTATCTGTCCTGTCAACGCTGCGGGGCCCTCTGCAGGGCAGCTCCGCGCTCGGAGGTGAAAACCGTGTATTTTAGGGCACGAGTCTAGCTGTGCATCTGATTTTTGGAGATGAGTCAGCAGCACCCCGACCCAGCCAGGGGGTGTGGGGCGTCCTTCCCAGTGCTCGGCTGGGACACAGGCAGCCCCTCTTTAGGAAGAACCAGAGAATCCAACCTGAGACGTGCGGGCTGCTTCAACAGAGTGGACAGAGCAGTTCAGACCCAGGATATGAGTTAAGGAACCTGTCAGAACTGACCCTCCGCTGTGCCAAGGGGGAAAGAACCCTCCAGAAATGCCTTCTAAATCGTCTCCTGTAAACCACAGCGTCTGGGCAGTGCCCAGGCGGGACAGTGAGGCCAGTGAGCGTTTCTGTCCTAAGCACAAACAGAACCTGCTGATCCAGAGGAAATCAACACTGAATCTTAACATGAATATGAAGATAGAAGATGTACATTTATTTTCATGAATTACAAGTGCATTTCTGTTCATATTAGCAGGCAGTCTTTATATAACCCATTCTCCATTGCTGTCAAAATCAAACAAGAGAAAAGGACAGCTGAGAACTGAAAAGCTAAAAATAGAATTATTTTTCCTAAGTGAGCTGCTGGATAGCATTTTCCGTGGAACACAACTCAGAGGTAACAACAGAGTTTCGTTTCAATCATAGGCATGTGGCACTTGGACAGTCATCTCCGCACAGAAGCTGTAACAGTCATGCGAGGGCACAGTAATTACTGAACAAGGCAGGTTTCTCACCACAGAGAGCAGTGGGGGAGGCAAGGAGGCACCGCAAGGGACAGACACCGAGCCAACGGCACCGTGTGCGCGGCAGGGACAGATACTTAGAGAGATTGGGAAAACACGGCTAGAGCTCCAAACACGCCTGAGTGCTAGCTCCTCCTGACGCCCTGGCCCGGCAGTGCCATGAACCTCGGGTAGCACTGGATTACAGAACAGGGTTTCATGTCATGAGCTCACGAAGGCTTTATTACAATTGCTATATCGTAGGTTGAAAATGAACTTGAGATGCTGACATGCTGTAGGAGGAAAAAGAATTGTACACTTTCTCATTTAAAGACGCAGTGTTCCTCTCCGCTAAATCCTCAGGCATGAGTGTGGTTATGGTGAAGGCGGCTTGGGGGTGAGGACGCTGGTGCAGAATTCTGCCCCAGACAGCAGGCAGGCAGCCTCCCACAGCCCAGGACACCTCTCACTGCATCCCAAGGGAAGCTGCCACTTTAAATCTTTTTTTGTGTAAGTCCTGCAAACACCCAGTGCTGCACGGACACATTCTGGCAAGTGTCCAGCTTCTATGAGTGGTGCAGCAGGAATGTGGGGAGCAGCACTTCTCCCTTTGATTTAGAAAAAGGGTCGAATTCTCTAAAAGCTGGGCAAATAGTACATACCTTCCATATGCTAGTGGCTAACATGATACAAGAGAAGCTGCCCCCGGGTGCCCACGAGCCCCTGCCAGACCAGACAGGCTGGGAGGAGACGTGCAGAGGGGCTGGCACTGCCTTGGGGCCCGGAAAGCGGGGCACAGTGACAAGGGGCCTGAGGGGTCAGAGGACTCAGGAGGGGAGGACCACTGCATCGTTCAAACCAGAAAATGGTTAGTGACTGAAGCGGCGGTAAGCAGCAGGTGCACTCAAGAGTACAGACTGCCACGGCCACCGGGGCGACGCACAGGGGCCAGGAACAGTTCTCTGGACTGAAGGAATTCTTTGAAAGCATAAAAGCCACAACTACCAGAAACTGCCCCTCCGACGGCTCAAAGGAGTCAAGGTGGACAGGCCGAGACGGGCTGGAGACAGGACCGGGGTCAGGAGCCGGGAGGAGAACACCGAAGTCTGAGCACATCTGGTCCTCGGAGCCCCCGTCCTATTGGGGAACAGACAGACAAACCTATGAGTGAAGGTAACCCGTGTGAAAACACCGCCGACAGCAACATTTAGACAAAGGAAAAGCGCAAAAGCAAAGGAAAAACCCTCCTGCAAAAGAAGTCCTTTCCCTCGGAGACTGCAGCACGAATAACACCTGTAGCACCGCAGGGGCCGACTCTGCCCTGGCCGCAGGCACCTCCTCTCAGACACTTCCCAGCAGATGTTTCCAGAACACTCAAAGGGAAGGCACAGGCCTGCTCACCGCCTGGCCAGCGCCAGCGCTGCCCAGATGCCCCTTCCTAACCGTGCAACACTCATCACTCCAGGGTGGGAACCCGGGTCTGAGCGTCTCTGCTCATACGCTTGTGAGCAAAACCCTGTCTGCCACCCTCTATTCTCAGCAAGCCCTTCTCTCTGGATGACCGGGGGGACAAAATCAACCAGACAAGCAACAGAAAGGGTGTTCTTAACACTCAGGTTTTCTCTGCCCAGGACAAAGCATCACAAACAAAACAAAGTGCTGGCTGGAAATGTGGCTGGCGGCCCGGATCCAGAGATAGGGTCCCATCACCCAGAGATCATCGGTGATCCGACAGCTGCTCCCCGCCAGGCCCTCTAGACGGCACCCCTCACCCACCCTGCGCCCTTGGCAGGGCTCTCCCGCCCCTGGCTGCCCTCAGAGGCCTGCCAGGAGCACGGCACCCCAAACACCAGAACACATGCCCCCATCACTCTTTTGACGTCTCTCTTTCGCTTGAGATATTCCGGGTTAAAGCCACACTACCCACTGATAGGCGAGCAGCTCTCAGACGTGCACAGACTCCCTGGGAGGGCCTGCTGACCCACAGACTGACCCCCATCTGGATCGTCCTTGGGAGAGGCGAAACACTGCAGCTCAGACCTCGCGCTCTGCTCTTGGCACAGGAAGGAAACCCCATGGGGATGGCCAGAAGGCCACCAAGTGTGGCGAGAGGCAGACAGAGCAGACCTTCCCTTGGAGATGCTGCCTGACAGGACAGGGTCGCTGGCAGGTGTCACTCTGGGATCTCATGGGCACTTTCAGAGGGAGGGTTTTTGTACGCCACTGGAGTCAGGGCAGGAAGGAGGTGCACACAGGCCCCAGTGTGATGGCAAGCGGGCTCAGCGGTGGGATGTGACCGCTGTCCTACACTGCAACCAAACCAGAGGCCAGGAGGAAATCAAAAGTGCCCTGAAATGCTTTCATCTTGAACGAAACCAAAGGGAAATAGGAGCTTACTGTCCCTAGTCACCAGTCCACCTGAGGAAGAAGCCAGGCACACGGCCACCATCCCCAGCCTCTCGGGGAAGCTGGTGAGGAGACGGCTGTGGGGAGGAGGCTGACCCTGAGTCCTAACCACCTCCACCTCTCCACCGCACACATTTCTAAAACTGATCACCTTAAACAAAGTACAATGAACCTACTGTGACCCTTTACGACTGCTCAGGACCTCCACTAAGGACATTTGCCAGCAGGGGTGTCCCTCCACCCGAGGGTCCCTGTGGCTGTGAGCGCCTGTTTCCCATGCAGCCTGCTGTCCCCTCCTCTACTGCCCCGTGTGACTCTGTCACAGCTCCACCCTCTCTGTGGGCTGGGAACTCACAACCATGGTCCCTCAACCCGCCGGGGGAGCAAACCTAAATCTAGTCCAAGGCAGTTTTGCAGAAACTGTGCAAGAAAAGGGAATTCTGCATCTAAGGGACCAGGATTCTCTGCCTAGCTCCGCCACGAACTATGACACTAAGCAGCATGCTACCCACCCTCCCACAGCTCCCGCAGTCGTGCCCCGGCTGCTGCCGGCTTCACGGGATGCCGCTGCAATCACAAACAGATACATCTGAGAGCGAGCCTGGCCCCCACCCCACCTTCTTCTGGGCTCACTTAAATATTCTAAATGATTAAATTATAAGTCAGTCTAGATGCTGGCAATTTCCTTTGAAATACATGAAAAAAATAAGACGGACTGATGGGCACATAGAGGAACAGATGGGTGAGAAGACAAAGCAAGTAAAGTGTTAATCACGAATCTACGTGGTGGGAATGGGGGTGTCCACTGAAAACCTCCAACTTTTAGAAAAGGTGAAAACTGTCAGTTAAAAAATGTTGCAGCAAATGGGATGGACCCAGACAAAGATCATCATTCTAAGTGAAGCCAGAAAGAGAGAGACAAATGCCACATGATATTGCTTTATGCTGAATCTAAAAAAGAAAAAAAAAAAAAGAACACAAATGAACTTATTTACAAAACAGAAACAGATTCACAGACACAGAGAACAAACACGGTCACCTGGTGGGAAGGGATAAACTGGGAGTTGGAGACTAGCAGATACTGACTACTATATATCCAACGGATAGCCAAGTTCCCACTGCACAGCACAGGGAACCTTACTTAGTATGCTGTACTAACCTAATGAAAAAGAATATGAAAATGAATACACGTATGTGTACGTGACAAACACGCTGCACACCAGAGACTGATGTAACATTGTAAATTGACTACACCGCAATAAAAACAGAATGCAAAAAAAGAGAACAGTTGGGGAAAATCAGGCTGTGGGCACATACTGTGCCTTCTGTGCCCCTGGAGAAAGTCACCTAAACACCGCGCAACCTGTCTGCCACCCCTCTCCACTGAGGACAGGCTGCAGTGCTGGATTCCAGGAAAGGGGGTGGACCCTGGGAGGGCAGCCCTGGGCTCCAGGAGGCACCTGGTCAACAGCACCATCCTGCGGCCTCAGGAGCACCCTGACCAAACACCCCAGAGAGAGGCCCTGCTCTCTGAGGTCCCGACAACCCGACTGACCCCAGTGTCAGCTGCCCTGATGCTCCCAGGCCTAAGAATACCTGCGAGGGGGTGGCAGGCTCTTTGGCCAGCCTGGGGTTGGCGTCCTCAGAGCCGGGCCCTCCCAGGGCTCCCACATGGCCCGACGCCTCCCCACCAGCGGAGCGCACCCCCAGCACTCTGTGGCAAGGGCTCCCCCAGTCGTCAGGCTGCCCTCCCTGGTCGAGCACCGGCCACACTGTCTGTTTCTGCGGGTCCTGCTGGAAAGCAGAGCTTGGGCTTTCCCTGTCTCTCTGCTTCCTCCCTCCTGGCACCAGGAGGTGCTCAGTGGTGACTAAACACTGGGAAGCTGACAGTCACGAGAACCCCAGACGTGGTTCTGCACTACAAATGGGCAGGACGGTTCTGCGTCTTTCTCCCCCTTAGACCACGTGCTCCTTGGAGGCCACGTTCAGTCCGTCTGCTCTGCTCACCGGGTTCTTAACACGTGCCTAGCCCGAGGAAGCACGCGGCGTGTGCGCCCGGAGACCGGAAGAGGAGGAAATGGGGCCCACAAACACAAAGGGAAACGACCGTGGAAGAGAATGGCCAGGGAGCTGCTCAGCCCAGTCTTCTGAGGGTCAGGGGTCAGCAAGCCTCGTCTGTAAAGGGCCAGACAAATCTCATCTACCAAAGGCAGCCAGCCCACCTGGCATGCACACAGGGACTGCAGAGTGGGCTCTGGGAGAGGGAGCAGGAGGGGGAGTGTGGCTGGGTCCTGGGGCTGCCTTTCTTTTCTGTCGGCAGCGACTGACACTGCAGAGCCTAGTAGGTGACACACACTCCAGAGAGATTGCCCTGCCCACAGGGCGTGAGACACAGGTGCTCCCCAGACTGTCCCGTTTCCGCAGGGGCTCCCATCTGCACGCCTGCGTTCCCTCAACGCTGCCTGGCTTGGAGCCTGCCCTTTAAGGTGTGTCCAAGCAAGGGTTTACCCCCACCTCCAGCTGCCAGGCTAGGAGTCGGGTCTCCTGGGTTTGCTCTCTGCTTTCCCCTGGGGTCGCTGCGTCTCCCAACACCACCCCGGTCTGAGCCTCTGGTCTGCAAGCCCCACTCCCACCCTCTACCGCGACCCTTCCTGCTCTGATGTCAGCCATCCTCCGTCAGTACCGCCGTCCGCCCCAGCCCGGACCTTGGCCACACTCTGTCCTTCCATCCTGTGCTGTGATCAGCAGGGCTGCCACACTGCGGCATGTCCCTGGTGGCAGTTTCTGGTCAGACTGTCCATGCCCGGTGTCAAGCGGAAAAGCCACGGTTTCTTCTTTCTTCTGCATCGAGTGACACATGGCTTTACAGAAGGGGCGGCCCCGGGTTTCAGAGGCACTCGATGGTGGCGTGACTGCAGGCCCTCAGATCCCTTGCATGGGTGGCAGTCAGGACTCCTGACCCCTCCTTGGTGACGGTGATACTCTATCAGCTGTGGTTCCAGCTCCCTCCTGCCTGTGGATCCCGCACGCAGCTCACACATGTCCCTTCTCCTAGAGGCACGGCTTCCTGCGGGGCCCAAGCTGCAGGCGGCCCTCCACCCTCCAGTGCCTTCTGACCAATTACACACCCGCCCTCGCTTTGAAACACCTTTAGCAGCTCCTGCTCTTGAGCCTGGACTAGACCAACAGTCAACCAGGGACCAACCCCCCGCCTGACCCCAATCTATGAAAAGCCGAAACGAGCAGGCAGGAGAGGATGGAACAGATGTCGGCGAAGGACCGACACCCACCATGGAAGGACCCGTTCCTCCAACTCCAATACCACTGTGCTGTGGTCACAGCTCTCCATCTCCAGACTTCTAACACAAGCCCTGTTCTCTCCCCATTCATATGTTCTCTAAAAACAAGATTTGCATTTCCTTTTTTTTTAACACTTAAAAAAAAATAATCAGCCAACAACCTGCACTGTCCAGCACACCGAGGCCCACAAACTCCCATGCAGACCCACAAGCGTTCCTCTCTTTCTAATGACATTTTATCTCTGCTCGCTCTCCCTTGCGAGGATTTGTTTACAGGTAAAGCTCCAGGTACCTGACAAATTTAAGATCTGTATCCTGGCTGGAATCTAGCGGTCTCCTCAAAAATGAGTTCTTTGAGCTTCTCCTTGGGCAAATCATCCAACTCCATGTCAAACTTGAACGGTGCTTCAGCGATGGGCTTGAAAAGAAAACATTTAGACAAAAGCGGTTATGTCTTAGGCAACTGTTCACTGCTTCATGGGACAAGCACGGCTTAGGGGCTGGACTCCACACGCCGGCGTGGGTGTCTGCGGGGCGCACTGCGCTGCCCACGGCACTGGACAAAGCATGTGGAGTAGCAGCATCCATCTCAAGATTTCCCCAAATATATTTCAAATGTTTTATTTTACTGTGTATTGAAATCTCAGAAACCTGCTGCTGTTGGGGAGCTGCTGCTGGTGGGGGGCTGTTTACACCATCAAACCCCTGATCCTCAAAGTAAATGCCTCTGATTAAATTCATTACAGTATCTTTAGATGAAGAAACAGTATTGAGCCATTAGAAATGAAGCTGCAAGGAAGAGTGACATTGTGGGAACATGCCCACATTTGTTCAACGAAATGAACCCTGCTTATTTTTAAAATTTAGATACAGAAATGTAAGACTGAAAAGGAAACATTCCAAAATTTTAATAATTATAACTGAGTGACAAAACTACAAAATGATCTTTCTTGTATTTTTCTGCAAGTTTTCATTTTTATTTTTCAGTACTCTCTCTATAATCAGAGCTAATTAAGTACATGCATACTCGATGATAACAGATGAAATCAGTCTATTAACGCTTATATTTCAATGTCAGAAGCCCTGAATGATGCCATGGTGCAGAGTTGACCTGACGGCCACACTGCTGTCGGTGAGTGGACACCTAGCCCTTCCCGACCTTCCCCGTGGAATCCTGACACCAGGCCTTAAGAGGAAAGAAGACCCCAAACTCTGCACTAAGTTTTGGCCTCTTGAAAGGGGGACAACAGAACGAGACGCAGCCACCCTCCTATAGACCCTCCACACGCCATCCTTTTACCCCTCCCGCTCCCTCTGGCTCTGGGGCACCACCTGGCCTGGGATTAGGACCCGGGGCTTAGGAACGTCCAGCTCACAGGGCGAGAAAGAGCCCCAGCCCCGCTCTCAGCACTGCCCGTCATGCACCCTGGGGTCGCACCTTCGCAGGGGGCCTCAGTCATCTCTGGGGAAGTGACTGAGAAATGCTTCCTCTCCCGACTTCTTCCTTCACTATCAGCTCTCCTCGTCCACAGTTATCTTTCCTCTCCTCCTCGAGTTCCCTTTAACACACTCTACCTGGTTCTCCCTTTTTAAACAGGACTATGAAGGCCCATCACCTGCATACTCATCATACTAGAAGGAGCCAAACTTTTGGTTCTTATTGCATTTTCTTGGTTATCCTCAGAGAAAGAAGGCAAAACTGAGCCCCCAGAAGAAGCAAAGAGCCAAGGAGCTGGGCCCTTCCTAGAGAGAACACGACATGGGGCATGTCCCTGGGGCGTCCAGCGTGAACGGGAGCCTGGCCCTGGGTGGGTCACTCCTCACATGACAGCCTCGTGTTTCCAGGGAGGACATGAAGTACCAAGTTCCAAGGGACTGGGGCCCCCACTGACCCAGCCGCTCCCCAGCAGGCATCCACCTCCTCTTCCCCTCAGGGCGGCCACTGCGGTCAGTGCCTCTGCTGCCACAGACCATGACGACGGTCTCCAGCCTTGATCCTGTCCTCCTGTGCTCCCCAGCCCCACCCTGTGCAGGGGCCCCCCAGCTGGGGGACATGACTGTGGTGGCCTCAGGGCTTTTACCTCGTCACTTGGGTCATAGTACTGCTCCAGGTACGGGTGGGCCAGAGCCTGCTCCACTTCAATCCTCTTGTGGGGGTTGAATGTCAGCATCTTGTCCAGTAGATCCAGAGCTACGAAGAGAAAGAGTGTGCAGCGGTGAGAAGCCAAAGGCACAGCCACTGAAATCCGTCCCATTTCCTGTTTAGGTAAACGACCCCACCAACAGCTAAGCTGCATGAGCGGGGCCATGGGGAATGGAGCCGCCCCCACGGGTTGCTGTTCTGTCTCCAGCTTCCTCACACCGACCACCTGACGGGAGCAGACCAGATGCAGCAAGGCGCATGCTCAGAAAAGGCTGAATGTGGAAGACCAGGATCCGAACCTACAAAGCCTGGACCAGCCCTGAATCACTGCTCCGGTCTGCTCTGCTCTGCAGGGCCAAGAGCAGAGGTCTCATGCATGTACTTCCCTTCAGTCAACTCCGAAGTCACTCCTGCAACAGTCAGTTCACCCCTCAACATACAGAGAAGGCCTCCGCCTCCAAGGTCACTGGTCCTCCCATGTGGTTTCAGTCTCCTCTGTCCAGGTCCTGGCTGACAGTCACCTGTGAAGCACCAGCCTCCTAGCCTCCTCTGCAGCTTGGCGTCTTTCTCCAAAGCCCCAAACTAAAGGTGTTCCCTCCACCCGGCCGGCGGTCAGCCCTGAACACGTCTTCCACGCTGACAGTGCAGTAAAGGGAGCAAGTGTGGGACCAACAGGGATGAGGCAGAGGGACGGCTAATCAACAGCCCAGCCCACTGGCTCCCAGGCACCAGCTCAGGCCGGGAGGGCAGCCGAAGGGCGTGGCTGACAGTGGCTGAGACAAGGTTACAAGGTTAAAGGCAGTGTGAGAAAACATTTCTTGTACTTCATGTCAGGAGGAGGTTTCAGTGAGAAAGAACATGTGCTGGAAAAGACATCGTTGTTCCAGTAAAGAGCTCACAAAGGGGGGCTCCTTTTAAAAATCTCTCCTTTTCTTTGATGAACCTCAGACCAGTGGTGCTCACGGCCCTGAGACACCCCTGAGAAGTCCAAGGGCTCCAACAAACAAGTCTGAGAAACTACTAGGTAGCAGCAAGAACACGTTTTCAGAGAACATTTTGACACTAACAAAACCGGCAACGCTGTCATGTCCTTAGTAAAGCCTCGGCCCCCACAGTGGTGACTTCTCATCCGGTCATCGAGCTCATTCTCCTGCACATTAGCACGTGCCACTAAGCTCCAGGGGCAGAAGGGGACAGAAAAGATCACTTTAGTTGTGTATTCACTGTAAGAATGTGTTCTTGGCGAGGAGGGTATAGCTCAGTGATAGAGCACACGCTTAGCATACACCAGGTCCTGGGTTCAATTTCCAGTACCTCCACTAAAAACGAGTAAGTGAACTTAATTACCCACTCCGACAAACAGTGTCCCACCCAGAGAGCAGCTGTGGCAGGGGCACCCTGCTGCCGGAGGTCACAGGGCGGGTGCATATGTGGGTGCAGGTGTGCATGTGCGGATGCACGTGTGTGCTCAGCTCTGCGATTTCCCCACATACCACCCCATCCATCTTCAATTAGTAGATAACCAACATGGTAAACCATGTGGGACATAATGAGAAATTCCACAGGAAAAGGACTTTTCTCATGTGCATAAAGTGAACTGTGAAAAGCAGTACCTTTTTTTTCCTTAAAGCACACACATAATGAATTTCTACAGAGAGTATATTTTCAAGTTAACTTTTCCTCTGTCGTCTTTACAACATACAAGCACACGTTAGGAAATTGGACGGCAAAGACATCTGGTTTACAGGCTGGAGAACTTTTCAGAACAGAGGTGGCTCTCAGGAGTCCAGTCATGTCTGGCCACTGATGGAGGCCAGTCTGGGCGGCAGAAGACAGGGGGTCTGAGAGGCCCTGAGATGGGCGGGGTTCAGAGGAGCCCCGCAAGGGGCAGGACAGTGCCGCGGGAAGGCAGGAACTTGGGGACCTGGGCTCACACCTGCATCCCACGGCAGCCCCGGCAGACGGGTGGACTGTCTTACCATCCCTAACACGGGGACCAACTTGCCTCACTTTCTGCTCCCAATCACCCTCCCCTAAAGCTGAGACACATCCCCACAGACTTTCTGGAGGCGAGACAGACAAGATCCGGGTCAGGCGAAGTCGAGGGCCCAGCCACAGTCAGACTGTGACGGTGTTACTCCTAACCCCCACATCCTGCTGACACTACACAGGACACACTCCAAGGCAACAAACGGGCTGCTCTGCAGCTGAAGCGCATCTAAAACAGACCTTTCTGCTCCTTCCAGTTAAATCCTAGGCCTTTAAACCTCCAGGCAACAACTTCAGAGGAAGAGAGGTGTTTTTTTTTGCCTCTTGAAAAATACCTGCATCTCTAGCCTCCTTTTACTCCAGTGCTATTTTTGTGTTAGTCTCGACTTCAGAGGGAAAGCAGAGAAATGGTGAGCAGCTGGCAGTGCTGACCCCGCACTCCAAGCGCCTGGCTGTCCCGCCCCCGCCACCTGGCACCCGCAGCAGCGCTCAGATGCCAGGAACCACGTTGCTTGGGCACATGCCTCCTTGGACAGATGTCACTTCCCTGAAAAGATTGGAAGTCCCCTTGAGGCCAGGGTGACATCTGACCATGGTCCCCAACTCTCCCTGGTGGTCCCCAACTCTCCCTGGTGGCCCCCCAGAGCCCTACCTTCCTTTACCTCCGGTGGCTGTGCAGAAACGTGGACCCACCCTTCTGGCCCGGCAGTCCCTTCTCCCTCCCAGCCTGCCAGACCTGGGGTGGGGCCCCTGACAGGCTCTCCAGCAGCATTCCAGGTCTATCTTACCCACCCAGCAAAGCTCTGGTCCTAGATCAAGGCCGCCATCTGTCACTCCTCTTCAGCTCGAATTTCTGAGCAGGGCCAGAGGAAGGGCCACCTGTGCAGATTGCACCACACCAGTGCTTCTCAGACCTCCTGACCTCTAAGCCCTGTTCCTACAAACCACCAAGGATCGATTTAAAAAAGTAGCTAATTCAGCTCACGATTCAAACACCCACACAGCACTTTCCTCTGGGGAAACCACAGCACTAAGCATGTGGCAGACAAGCTGTGTCCTCATCCTCCTGATTTGTCCAAAATCACAGACCTAAGTGGTGGTGCCCGAGTCTCTATTCAGGAGGCGAACTCCAGGCACATGGCCTCACGCTGTGCGCAGCCTCCAACAGAACAGGACGGGGAACCTTCAAATGTTACTCAGTTCAGAACATTTTATCCCTCTCGTCCACACCTGACTGGGTTTAAATTTTAAACTTTTATGTGATTAAATCTATATCTTTCTTTTATGCCTGTCTTCTTGGTTTCTTTTTAAAGCTTAGGAAGATTTTCTTTTTTTCACGCAGAGATCAGAAAAACACTGACTATGCCAAATATTGTTACTTTTTAACAGGATGACTTTTTAAAAAGCATTTAATCATCAATTCTTTTGGATTCACTTTGATGTGTGAATAATGATTTAAACCGTTTTTTTCCAAACAGCTATTCAACTAACCCAGTACCATCTGCTGAATAATAATCATTTCTTCCCCCTCACTGCAGTAATTTTGGAGAGAATCCTAGATTCCTTTGAAGAGAAACCTAGGATACTACTGGTTTAAGGGACTCAGTAGTCAGAAATTTCCAAGAAACATAGAAAAACATCCAACCTCACTCCTAATTAAAGAGACACAAATGGAAGCGCCCCTTCTCCCCCTACTCGGTTGGCAAGCCCAAAGGTTCAATGCCCAGAGCTCTGGAACAAAAAATGTGACAGAGCTGCCCGACTGCTGCCACAGAGAGACCCACCAGCCTGCTCCTCATCAGCTGCGCCAAGCCTGACCGCAGGGGTGTCCAGCCTTCTGATTCCTGCTACTGTGATGAGTGGAAAAAATGCCACTACTGACCTTTCAGTGTTCATACCGCATATAATGAATAAAAATGGGCACTCTTTTCTATATTTAAGAGACACTTACAGGGGTAGGGTATAGCTCAGATAGTAGAGCACAAGCTTAGGGTACACAAGGTCCTGGGTTCAGTCCCCAGTACCTCCTCTAAAAATAAATAAGTAAACCGAATTACCCCCCCAAATTTTTTTTAAAAAGAGACACATTTGTTTTTCTGTGAACTATTATTAACCAGAGTTAAAAGCACCAGTGTTTCAGCTTGAAAGTTCCCATCTCCTCAGTTCCCCAAGGTCTGCCATTCATTTCTTTGTCATTTTCACGCCAATCTGAACTTTCAGCTACATGCATACAGGTTCTTAAACCTATCTTACTGCTGTCCTATGTCCAGGGCCTCAAAAAAGACACTCCTCTATTTAGTAAGTGAACGCATTTACATATATTACAGTAAAACCCAGAAGCAACCTAGTGGCAGATTACATCCTGCCCCCAAGTCTCTGCAGCTCTTGCCATAGTGGGTGGGTTATTTCTCCTTGGATCTGGGCTGAACTTGTGATGTGTCCAAAGTAGCAGACGTGGCAGAAACGTGCTGTCCTGAGACCCTGAGAGGCCCTGAGCGTCCGCTCTGGCCCTTCTGGGATGCTGTTGCCTCAGGAGCTGCCCAGCCGGTCTCCTGCTGGCGGAGGGTCACGGCGTGGAAGTGAACCAGCTGCAAGATGCTGTGAGGCCCCTCAAGACCACACAGGCTGAGGTGAGCGAAGCAGACCCCCCAGCTGTGCCCAGAACGTGGACCTACAAGCAAGTACGTGCTGGTGGGTTTTGTGGGTAGTAAGGGTTAACCTTAGTAAGGTCCTCCTCTGCATCTCATTTCACAAGGTGCCATGCTAACCTAGAGACACTTGCCTTTTGTTTCACCAAATTCCTTGTGTATTTCACATGTCAGTATCACATGGAGGCTGTCTGGAGGCCCCAGGCTGCAGAGTGGGTGGTGTTGCAGGAGAGAAGGGAACACTATGCAGCCGTTCTCAGTAACCATGGAGACAGACAGAACTCGGATACTTAAATGACGAAATTTCAGTCTTGAGATCTCAGAATCTAGACCTAGCAGTGCCAGTGGTCTGGACGTTCACACAACCTGGTGACGCAGCTACTAACTAGCCCTGTTTTATAACTGGGAAAACAGAGGCCCAGCGAGGCTGAGCAGTTTGTCCACAGGGCACACACTACTAACTGGCCGGGCTGCAGACTGAACCACGCTCACAGCTGACGCTCTCAACACGGGATGCCGCCCACCCGCCTTTCATCCCATTCCGAGTGCGCTCCTTCCCCGAGTCTTCACTAAATCCACCCAATGCCTGCATTTCAAGTCACTCTACTTGAGTGCTGTTAACTATTATCTGAATGAATCAACATCAAAGTTCATGACCTTAACACCTAAAGAAAATAAGCTTAAAAAAAAAGCCTCAGAAATCATTTAATGCAGATCATGACTAACTACAGGAAACAGTGAGGAAACACATGGAAGGAAAGCCTGAGAGTTCTCCTTTTCCTGAAGTCTCAATTACGCAGTTTTGTTAACTACACAACTCTGTACAAGGCAGCTCAGGAACCAGGTCTATGAAACACCCCTGGGACGCCACAGCACACAAGCCAGTCTAACATTGACACGTGCAACGTGTGTAAAGTTCTACTCTAAGAAGTCCTGCAATCACTATGCATGACGTCATCATGTAACTAACTTAACAGGCAGATGCTGTACACGTGCTGGTAGAGCAAACGTTAAATGTTATTGTGGGTCCTGGTGATAAAGACTATTTCTTATTCTTTTAAGCACCAAGTGTTTCTGGAACTTGGCTCAGGTCAACACTTACATTCAACAACTAAGTAGACCACTGTTAGGTTTAAAAACATGTATACACATATGGATGTTCAAGATACAATTCTATGAACAGCAACCGTTAGGGAATTAATTATAAAAGAATTTTACATAAATAAATATTTTTAAAAATGTAAAAAATAAAATAGTCTTTATGTATCTATATAACTAAATCACTATGCTGTACACTAGAAATTAACACAACATTGTAAACCAACTATATACTTCAATAAAAAAATTTCCTGATTTTTGAAACTTTTTTTTTTACCAAAAAATGTTAGCTTTCCTAATAAAGTCAAATTTTGGTAAAAAATATCACATTGTGCAGGCAGATAGACATGGCAGGCCCAGCACCCACGTGCCGGCGAGCTGCTCTCTGGTCCCCGGGGGTGAGACTGCCTCCCCATCTGAAGTCAGTGATGAGCCACCTCACTCCCTTTCGCCATGGACCCACTATGGATTCGGATTCTGGAGATTAGGATGCAGATGTCTTCGGGGATGGGGTCATTATTCTGCCTACCATACTTTTATATCAATCTAAAGTTAAAAAAAAAATAGCTACCTAATATATGTAACGGATACACGTTAAATGAGAATGAGGCTAATCTAATTATTAAACAAACTTAACTTACAAAATAGCAAAGACTAGAATCGAATATACTCACTTTTTTCACGCTCTTAAGGTGTTATATTAGGAAATCCTCACCTAATCTAAGGTCACGAGGATTCTACCCTGTTTACTTCTCAAAGTTTTATAGTTTTAGTCCTTACATTTAGGTTCTATGTTCCATTTTTAGTTCAGTTTTTTTCCCCTTGCACAGAGACGTCTAATTGTTCCAGCACCACTTGCTAAGGAGACTGACACAGGCACCAGTGTGGATAAATCTTAATCTCAGATGCGTCATGCTGAGTGGAAGAACCCAGACACAAGAGGCTGTGTGTCTGTGACATTGTGTAGAAGGCACAACTACAGGGACAAAAATCAGCTCAGAGACTGTCGGGGATGAGGCATGGAAACGGACTCCAAAGGGGCACAAGGCAACTTTTGGGGATGATGGGAATGCTCAGGGTCTTGACTGTGGTGGTGGCTGCAGGACTGTATAGGTTTGTTAAAACTCAAAGGCTTACACAACCTAAACGTAACTACTCCTATAAATCCGACTTTAAAAAGCATCAATGACAATGTGAACCTAAAAAAATGAACTTGATCCAAGCTAAAAAGCAGCAAAGAAACTAAAAGGTGAAAAACCAGACAGTAACCTGCAGACCCCCTGACCCCACGGCCACCACTCCTAAACCAAAGGTTAGAAAGCAGTGGCGAGTGAGCCCCAAGTAAGGCCCTGCCCGAGAGCCGCAGGCTAGGGGCCCACCCACTTAAGAAATACAACCAACAAACAAATAGAAGGCTAAGCCTCAGAAAAATAATGAATGAAATAATATTTACCTTTGGAGTCAGCATTTGGGAACAGCCTGTTCCACGGCACCTTATTTTTGTGTGGAAGAGAAAGCAAGTAGTTTCTAGCTTTTAAATTTATAATACAGTTCAGGTCTTCCTGTGACGGGGATCCGAGAATACCTATCAGAGAGAACAGCCAGCTGTCAGGGGTGGAGACGGATGTAAAGCACCCGCGCAGCACCCGCAGCGGGGCAGACGGACCCTGACATTTTCGTGTCTTCCACCCCCCTCCCTGTTATCTTCCATATCAAGTTTTTACGAGGGTCCTTAATGTTTCACATCAAGGAAGACCAAAAGCTCATTCTATCACAGGTGAAAGCGTTGCTAGACCTCTTCTTAACGTCGTGAAGTACTCTGATATAAACTGGGCAGGTGAACTGGGGACACCTAGTGCCCCATGTGCTCAGAAGCCTTACCCAGAATGTGGTTCAGCTGGTCGAGATAGTGCTTCCCCGGGAAGATGGGCCTGTTGGAGAGCATCTCTGCCAGGATGCAGCCTACAGACCAAATGTCAATGGACTTGGTGTAGCCCTGCAGGGAAGGGAGAGAAGATGGAGAATGACATTGCGGGCCCCACGACACAAGGCGACCCTAGTGACAGGTAGGGCTGCCGGATGTCAACCTCCCCTTGGGCTCTGTAATTCAAAAATAAATGAAGAGAACACAGACAGACAAACAGTCGCTTGGCTTTCTTATAGGACGCTAAGCAACCAAGAGATTACTTGATTTCATTTCTCTCCTCTAAGTGCATTAACTTATAATTCGACCAGAATTTCTTAAGCATACTTCCTTTCTTTTTTCAAATAATTTGAGAGACGGAATTAGAATCCTTTTAAGCCGAAGCTGGAAAAAGGAGTAACAACCGTTGCTCTAGGACATTTGTGGCCCACTTACTCATTCTGGAAACCAACTCAAAAGAAGGGGCACTGCTGCGTTTCCAGAATATCTTCATCCATTTTGCAAATCATTTTTTTAAACCCTTGATCTCTGAGGGAAAAAAAGTTTGCTGGCTTCATCATATTTTTACTAATCTCTATTCCTTATCTTCTTTTTCTATTCATTTTACAGGTATGTATTTCTTTCCTTCCAGTGGAGGTACCAGGGACTTCACCCAAGACCTCACGCATGCTGAGCTCCCACCAGGAGGAGGCCGCCACCCTGTGCTATTCACACCCAAACATGCGACACAGAACTGAGGCACGTGCTGCGGGACAGCGGACCCACACCCTTCCAAAGCATCAGCGCCAGGACGGCTGAGGAACTACTTCAGACTAAGGGAGACAGAAACGTGTGAGCCTGAACGGGGTGGGGGTGGGGCGGGAGGGGAGCTGTAAGGGTTACCACAAGGACATTGTCCCAACTCTGAGCCCCAGTTGTGCGCCAGCTACGGGGTCAGCTGTTTGTGGCCCTATCGGGCTGGACAGTCCTTGTGGCCGGGCCGTCCTGCGAGGCGCAGGGCGCTCAGCAGCAGCTCCAACCTCTGACCACTTGATGCTGGCAGCACCAAGAGCCAAAAATGTCACTAAACATGATCCAACGTCCCCGGGGAACATTCAAGCCACTGTCCTTAGGAGTAAAACACACAATGAAATGTTCAGTGGTAAAGGGTGCGCCCACAATTTATTCTCAAGTGACTCAAGAGAACTAAACACACACACAGAGAAAGAGAAAGCAAATGGGGCACAGGACAAAGAGCTGGTGAGCCTACACCGGAGGCGAGGGGACCTGGAGTTGGACCCAGCAGCCCCGCAAGGGGGTCCAGAGCCCCGCATGACCTCCCGCTCAGGATCTGAGAGGTGATGCTCCTTTTCAAGCCACTACCGTGATTCTGTTTTCCTCTCCACATGTGTGCAGGGGGCATTCCTAGAGGCTACCCGGCGTGGCTCAGTATCACACAGGAAGTGTGTCAACAGTCAGGATCCGTGCAACACAGTGAACCAGTATTTTCCACACGCTCGGCCTTACAAAATCACGCCTGGGTCTAAGTGTCAGGTAGAGCAATGAAATGGGTTTCAGTAAAACAGGGCAAAGGGTTCACTGACATTGCTTCAGACTCCACAGTGCAATTAACCCCTTGCTGCTAGATTCTGTGTGGCACCAAAGAGCCACAGGCAACTGCAACACTACCCACAGTCCCTTTTCCAATGACGCGTGAAGACCTTTCCTCACTAACTTAAACCAAAATGACATGTGTCAGACTGAGTGCAGAACCAGATGAGACTAGCAATTTTCAGATTAAGACAGTCAATGAAGAGATCTGCAAAATGAAAACACCAGTCTTCTCACTAAAATGTTTTTGTTGTGGAAAACAGTTTAAAATGAGGAATAGCTACTTTAACATTTGTTTTAAAGTAAGCTAATTTTTAAAATTAATTAACAATATATGTAGAAAATCACATTTTGCAAATCTCAATACGATAACCGTAGGAGGCACTGGGGTGCCCCCTGGGGAGTCAGGCTGCAGAAACAGAAACACCACTCATGTGGCTTCCAAGAATCCGTGGGTTTGTGCCAGCAAAGTGTGGCCTAAAGCCCCTCAGGAGGAGAAACCCGTCTCAAGAACTCAGAATGCAAACCATTCCACAAAGCAACACACCCGCACTTGGCAAAGCAGCCAGCATGAAGACAGGAAGGGTGGAAGGACCGTCCCAGACGAGCACGGGGCCTGAAACCAGATCAGATCACGGACTGAAAGCAAAGCACAAACAGGTGTAGAGGACTTTACTGGGGGGGGGGGGCGCACGACTGAGCCGTCACTGAACGAACGCTGACCATCTTCGGTGCATGCACCAGGGCGCTGCGGCCGAGGGGAAAGCACCCCCACCCCCTTTAAGGAGGATCAGGACACTCCCAGTGTTAGTCTAGGAGCAGTGCTAGTTTATGTTGGTAGAATGTCAGAGGGTCTGACACAAGGCAGGGGGCGGAAGTACTTTGGTAGTGACTTGAGAACCTAGGGGAACACTGGAGCTCACTGCACACTCAGTTCTCCCACAGGACTGAAAATGCTCTAGTCAACAGAAAACCCTGACTGCCTTACTGGAAGCAGCATTCTCAGGCTAGACAGGCTGCAAACAGAAAAGGACTCAGATTCAGTTTTCAGCAGAGGCCACCCTCCTGGCTGCGTCCCTGGAGGAGGACGAGAAGTGAAGACAGGAGCACTGAGTCAGGACAGAGGCCTGCGGGAGCACGAGGCCACCAGGATGCAGAGCAAGGCCACCAGGACGCAGAGCAAGGCCACCAGGATGCAGAGCGCACCCACGGCTCCCTCCAGCGGGCCAGACGGCCAGTCGGCAGGCAGAACCAGATGAGTGGCTTATTCGTCATACGGACTAGAAGGCAATCCATACAGCAGTTTTCTCTTTGAAATATCTGTTTCACTAAATCCTTGCTTACAATGGAATTTATTTTAATGGGATTTTACTTTTACTGCTAAAATGAACAAACGTATGATTCCAAGAAAAATGAACTGCTTTAAAGGAATTCCATGCCCTCACAACAGCCATCTGGCGTTCACCCCCAGCCCTCTTGCTCATAAAGGACGGAGGAAGGGAGTACCTGTTCCCTTCCTCTGCCCCCACCAGACTCCCAGGATGCTTTCTGGCTCCTACATCTCAACACGAGGGCCAAAGTCTATTTGTACAACTTTCTTCATGTATCTTAATGTTCCATTATGCTAGATGGAAGTTCGAGAATCTCAACCCTGAGATACTGGATACAGGAAGTATGTCAGGCCCCCTGAACTCTCAAATCTGACACCTAATTCAAATGCTATCTGCAGATGACGTGTTACAAACACACGTCTCCACGGCAGCCCGGAACATTCACCACCTTGCTCACAAACAGAACAAAGACGCCATACTTCACTTTTTCTGGCTTTTATAAATTTTTCAATCATTTCTCAGGACCAGACACAGACTGGTTAGAAGAGGGTGCCTGTGACCTGGACGCACGTCATGTGGAAGCAGGACCAGCTCACAATTCTGAGAACTGTAATAGTTCTTGTTTTCCACACCTATGTTTTCCTCAAATCACAGTCTAATTTGGCTAAAGCAGCATTCTTCATCATCAGATAAACCTGACCTTCACAGCAAAGCTCTGTCCGTCCTTCCAGGAACGCAGGCTATCGGATGACCCCACACAAACCCAGCCTGCCCCAGCAGCGACAGCCCAGGAGTGATGGCTGCCCCAGGCAAGACTTCAGAAGAGCTGACCAAGGGGTTGGACATGGAGCATGCATTGTCACAGCCACCAGACAGGCACCTCCTTCAGCTCCACAACAGGTCAGCACTACCCCAGCTGAGGCGGAAAGGCCAAAACCCAAGGCCCAGAAGTTCAGCACTGAACAGCAGACTAAGACAGTGCTCTGGCTCTGACCAGACTGGCCAAGCTCCAGCCTGGCTGCAAACAGGCTGCCTGAGAGGGAGGCTCACTGCAACCCACATCCAAAGTGCTTCTGCCTCCTGGTTTTCTGTTTATGCAAACTTCGTCCTTACCTTGGAATTTAACATAATTTCCGGAGCCCGGTACCAGCGCGTGGCTACGTACTCCGTCAGGAACCCTGTGTGGTCATGGTCCGGATCCGCAACACGGGCCAAACCAAAGTCACAGATCTGAGAGAGAAAAGAACGGACACTTTCTTAGAGAGTCTAAGCAGTTTAACATCAAGCATCGTAAACACGGAGAAAACCACAGCAACAATGATGGTGAGGACCTGCCACCTTACGATGTGGCAGGTGCATGGCTAGAAATCTACAGACACAACTCTCATCCTCACAACCCTCCGAACACTATCTGCTTATCCCACGGCAGTCAGGCTAAGGTTAACTGATGAAACCATTCTACATAGAAATAAAGTCACCAAAATCAGCCCCTCCTGCCGCGTTCCTAGGGAGGTCATGGCCAGGATCGGCTCCTCAGCCCGCACACACACTCCTTCTCTGACTTCACTTCCTGCCAGCTCGCTGCCCTCAGGGTCCTCCTGCTTCCTCCGTGTAGTCAGACCCACTCCCGAAGCTTCAGTAGATGCTTCACATATAGAAGATGAATTTTTTTAAAAAAATACAGCTTCTAATTCTCCTGACTCACAAAAGTACCTGCTTGCCTTTCACCTGGCCCTCATCCTCCGAGATGCTGGTGATATTCCAGGCTCCACCACATACAAAACGTAACTACAGGGGTGGTGAGAGCGGTGGGTATAGCTCAGTGGTAGAGCGTGAGCTTAGCATGCACAAGGTCCTGGGTTCAATCCCCAGTGCCTCCATTATAATTAATTAATTAATTAAAGCCTACTTACCTCCCACCAAAAAAAAAGTAACGACAGCACATTTAGCCCCATCCAACTGCAGGATACCTACTCTTTGGCCCCTGGGGAACTAGCCCGAAAAGGAGACATGTGAACAAAGATAAGCCAGAATACAGTATTAGGCAGCCTGGAAGACTGAGATGACTTTGGAGGTGATAAGGGTCTGAGCTCAGGCCATAAAAGCAGAGACAAGGAGGAATTGACGGGCCTGAGATATTTTTAAAATCTTCGTGGACATCAGCCCATATTGTATGCTTAGATATCCCATATTGTATGTTTCCATAATTCAGAAAGGCTCTGAAAGCACCCAAGCACCTCACCCCGTCTCCTTCCAGCCGTGGACGTGGGCACCACGCTGCACCTCTGACCCCACCAGCCCCACCACCCGTTTCAGCTGCTGCATTCAAGAGGCAGCATGTATCTGTGTTGCACAACTTCCGTCTCTTGACGTCCTGTCACTGCATTTTCAAAAGGAGCAAACACCACATCTGCCTCCCTGGGCACTCACCCCAAAGCCACTCTCGACACGCACTCCGACAGAGCTGCCTGGAAGGCAGTCTCAGGCCACAGGCCCTCCGTCTACACCACCCAGCACAAGTGCTGCCCCGCCTATCCAAGCCCACCTGCCAGCGGGCACCATCGCAGCCTCGACAGTCCCAGGCTGTCAGAGGACCTGGGGGACGTCTGGCCAGAAGCCTTTCAGAGGGGTCACGGCAGCTCTAACTTCAGCCAGACTGATCGCAACGGACCCGCACCTGATTTGTGTCTTTGAAGCCTTTTCCACCAGCCCCTGTGGGGCACAATGCAGGAAGGCTTCTCCGCACTCATGCAGGAGCGCGGGGTCCATGAGCAGCATGACCCCCATGAGCATGATTTCCAGCTCAGGAAGCAACGAAGGGTGGATTTCTTCGTCCCACCCAAGGGGAGGCCTTGGAGCCATCCAGGCATCGCTCAGCAGGCTGCACAACCACCAGTTCACATCAACTTGGTGTGGCTTCAACCTTCAATGTGCCTGTGACCCACAGTTTCTTTTTTCAGGGCTAACACTTCATCCTCTGATCCAGGCTCAATCGGAGCCCAACAGTCTGCCTCCTGCTGTGTAAATGGTCACACGCAGCCACGCAGACTCGCGCACTCAGAGAAGAGTCACTGTGCCCGCTACGCTCAGCATCACGCAGCTTGCATGGGTCTGGACTTGGAACACAGCTTTTGTGGGTCACCAGAAGCACAGAACAAATCCCAGATTTGAAAAAACCCAGAATACAGGAAATTCACAGACCAGTGAGGCCAAGTATTGAGGCTGATGCCTGCAACACTCCTCTGGGAGTGTGGACGTGGACAGAAGCTGCTCCTTGAGGCTTGATGAGATCCATGTCTATAAAGACAGGGGTAAGTGGTGTGAATGACTGAACACAGCTGTACTTTCTAAAGAGGGCCACTCCAGTATAAATAAGCTTTACCGACACTCTTCTTACAAGCTCTGTGGTTGAACCTGTATTGAGAGGGCATGATCCATCTTCCCTCCTCCTGAATCTGAGCAAAGCTCTGAAACAATCTGAACAGAACAAAGAGGAAGTGACGCCATGTGACTTCTGAGGCTGCATCCTAACCTGTAACATGGCCTCCACCTGGCACTGTCTCTACTGCGGTAGTTGGAACCGTCTGCCCAGGTAGTGAGGATGCCTGGGCCACAGGGGCTACACATGGCTGTCCCTGGCCTCGACTGCCAGGTGTATGAGAGATGACTTTGCATCCTCTAGCTGAGGCCTGTACATGGGAGCAGAGACCAGTCACCGCCCGCCACTGCACCCCGACTGAACTCCTGCCCTACAGAAACTGTGGGCTGAAACACGATTTCTGTCCCAGGCCTCAAAATTCTGAGATGACGTTACAGAACAAGAAACAGCTAGCACGTAGTACTGGAGAGTGCTTGTGACGGACAGACACTTTCTGAGGAGAACCCATCTGAAGTGACACTGGAACACTGAAGCGACGCCAGCCATCGGAAGGGCTTGGGACAGCCAGAGCAACGCCCCAGACAGACTAGCGGGGCGGGTGTGCAGGGTGCACTGGCTCCTGAATCGGCTGTTTCTACATTTCAACTGCTGGTGCCTGTAGTTTGTCTGAAACTAGCTTTTACTCGCCTGCAATCTAATTCCTCCGCTAAATTCCTAAGTTTAATTTTTAAAATGTAAGTCATCTTCCTGGTTCAAAAACCTTTTAACCAATCCCTTCGGCCCACTAACTAAAAGCCCAAGTTCTTTAAGCGAAGACCACTCGCACACAGCCGCCAAACCGTCCTCCTGCACTCAGCTCTCCCACCATCACCTTCACCCTCCCCGACTATGCAGCGCCCTGTGAGCCCCTGCCCTAAATACTCACCATGAGAATTACCTCTTCTGAGGAGCTTCCCCGGGATCAAAACCAGTCCCAAGAATCGATCACTCTTCTGAACGCCCCTAACACTCTGTTAGACGTACACACCCGCAATCCATGACAGTTAGCTGTGCAGAGGCCCAGGGCCCCGGCTGCAACGTAAGTCCCTAGACAAATGCAATCCTCACTCACTTTTTATTCCTAAATGTCCTGTACATAGTGGGCTCTCAAAATTTGGTGAATAAATGCCTTGTTTTAGATGTCTGCAGGTGGCACAACAACCAGGGTGGGTGAACCAGCAGAGGCTCTAGCACTGACCATCTTGCACGACACCTGAACTACTGGTAATCCCTTAAAAATAAACACCAGGGTGCACAGCACCACCAAGGGTGAAATCTTACACTAACACTTAACACTGTTAATAAAATTGCACTGTTCAAAGTGGCAATATGAAGAAGGAAAAATTAGAACCCAGAATCAGTGGCACAGCTCCACTAGGAAGACTGACCTGCACGGGCAAGCCGCAGTGCCGTGACTTCAGGGCGGGGACTCAGCATGCAGCTGCTCTTCCTCGTCTGGAGGCCAGCAGATGGGTCATGCAGCCCGAGGCGGCTGTGGGGCTGGGGTGGGGGGGTCCAGATGTGAGGGAAGAGGGAGGTCACATGGGGCGGCAGCAGCCCTGGGGCAGGGGGTGGTCTAAGCAGGGTGAGCAGAGGACCCTCGATTATCCTACACAAATCAATTCCTTCACTGGAGGCTGCAAAATAGTGATTTTTCTAATTTTATTATCCCTTCTGCATTTATTAGCTGGCATTTATTTTAAGGACGAGCCCTCATTTACCAATAGGGGCTATATGCTCACCCTGATGCCCAGATTCTAGTGAAAAGACAGGAAAAGTGTTTAATCCTTTCTTTAGTTACCAATTTTCAGAACAGTGACGTGGTATAAGGGGATCATGTTTTGGTAGCAGGCGTAGAAAACGCAGGCTCTCAAAAATGACTGGTTATAATTTTAAAAAAACAAAGAGGGAGATGCAGGTTTAGACCTCTAACAGATCTCACAACTCCACTCACTGTCATCAATGGAAAGCTCACGTGATTTTTTAAAAAGTTCCCTTAACACAACACTGAAAGCTAACAGGACATTAACCAAAAAACTGCCAGGGTACAAAATTAGAAAGTAATACTGTTCAGCGCAATTCCACATGAAGGAAGGCAGACGAGCAGGATATGGTACAAGAAATAAAAAATGATCCATTGCATTTTACCTGGCTACTTTTGGGGCTGTGTAAACTCAAAATCTCATAAAACAAATGCCCCAAATATGTTTCATTTTGTACCTTTCAAAGTCCTCCTCCCCAGGCACCCCCCAGAACCACGTGCTGTGATCCCAGTCTTCCCAATTCCTCCTGGGATTTCTGGGGGCAAGGACCGCTGGCGACCACACTCCCCAGCAACGTCGCTAAACAGATGCCAGGAGACTCTCCAAATCAGGCCTGTGACCCTTGTCCTCTCCATGCCTGGAGAGGCCCACGTCTGCTGGGTCTCAGGGCTCCAGATAACAAGTAAAAGCACATGTGCAGAAGCCAGAAAGCCACGGACTGCTGCTGGCCTTGCCTGCTACCAGAGTCACAGGTCTGACACTGAGAAGAGCTCATGTGCTGAGCGCTCAAGAGTAGGAAATACTTTAGTAACAAAGAAGCCAACGGAAAAAGGAAGAAACAGCATAATTACCTACACAAAAATTCAAAAAGACCCAAATAATAAGTCAGCAAGGTCACAGGCTGCAAACTTTGAGGCACAGGGCCATGGGCTGGCATCACTCTCACCCCAGGTCTGAGGGTATGACCGACAGGTGTGCAGTGACCCCGCCGTGCATGTGGAAGACTCCCCTCCCCGGGTACTCCCTCCACCCTCACACATGCACCCAACCTGCTGTCAGACACGCCCCGCCCGTCTCTGGAAGGAAACTCTCCTGAGTATTTATGCCCACGTGGATGACGCACGCCCCACATGGACATTTTTTAACGTGGGTGAACCACACTGCTGTAAATATCTAAAACACCCTATTGTGTTTGAGTGTGTGTTACATTGGGTTTTGAAAACAATGCCTGGATTGTGCAGATGGCCAACAACACACGTCTATCATTGTGGGTGAACACTCTGGTGAGCAGTGAATATATTGGTGGGGAAAGACAACTCCATCGACAGTGAAGACACCACAGAAAAAGCAGTCTGGTCTGTTTTTCTTCTTCTTCAGGATGAGTATTTTTCAAACAAAATTTAAGAGTTGACTTTTCCCAGAAGTATTACATACTTAAAATACTGACTGAGAATGTTTCTCCAAAAACAAACAAAAGCGATCTATCCCAACAGGGCTGTGATAAGAAATGCAAAGAAAAAAGCATGAGGAGACATACATATTCACTGTAACTCTTCCAGAAAATCGTAAGAGCCAGTGAGGTGCGGCCATCCGTCCCTAGGAGTAGCCTCGTCCCTCCACTGCCGGCATGGCTGTGGTCTGCAAGGGCCCAGGGGAGAGGACCTGGCACAGCCCTGTGGGGGCACACGACACCAACTCAGGAGGGCCCCAAGCGGTGACAGAGTCCACCCGAACCAAAGCTGACGCAGGAAGCTGTCCACCACAAAACCTCACGGCATGTCTGCCACCCTGTTTTAAACACCCAACGATAGGATAGGCTGACCACCTGATCACAGAACCCACTGCCTTTCTCAGGCAGCTCCAGAAGGTTCCATAATCTACACACCAGAGACTCCCAATTATCCAAAGCCATAGCCACACACAGCAGGCCTCGGTGTGTGTGTACCAGTCTCTTCTTCCTTTTATTTCTGTTGTTCCTTCTGCCTACAATACCCTGTGTCCAATGCAGACACTTGCCCACTGAAAGCCTCAGCATCCTCAGAGGGGCAGCCTGGTGACAGCCCCAGCCTCCTTCAGATCTGCACACTGTTTCACTCAGTACCACAGTCACAGCAGACATCAGTACACTTGTCCACTGCTCACCAGACTTCTGACCTAACCACTCTCAGATTCCAGGGACACCTGTCTCCACTGCTAGGTACACCTCATGGGCTTCTCACAGGAATGTCTGTTGAACTGAAGTTCACTAAACAGTCATTGCTATGTATCTATATGTACTTTCCAAACAGTCTAACTGAGACATAATTCTCACACCACATGATTCACTCATTTAAAGTGTACAAGTCAATGCTTTTCGGTATTTCAGGAACACCTTCATGACAGGAAGAAACTCTGAGCCCGCTAGCAGCCCCTCCCATTCCTCCCCAGTCCCATGCACCCATGGCGCCAACCAGTCGACTTGTCTGAGACCTGCCTGTGTGTGTAGGCAGATCTCTGCAGACTTGTCTGTCCTACACACGTGGTCTTTGACAACAGGCCTCTGCCACTGGCGTGCACTGTCTGCAGGGCTCAGCAGGCTGGGCGGGCGGCCCGCAGCACGGTGCTCCGGGGCCCTGGCCCTCTCACTCCACCTTCCACCCGGCTCCACCGTCTCTTTCTCCATCGGCACCTGGATGGCTGAAATGCCTCCACTTCAGGGCCATATGCTCCCGTGAGGATCTGTGGGCTAGTTTGTGTGTGGAAGCTGGTTCTCATCTCACTTAGGTGCACACCTGGGGGCAGATCCCTGCCAACGCTCAGCACTGGACATTCTGATTACGCCACTCTGGTGTGTGTGAAGCAGCAGCTCATGTGGTGCTGATTCCTACTTCCCTACTGACTAATGATGGCACTTACTGGCCATTTGTCTATGTTTTTCAGGTCCTTGGCCTTTTCAGCTCCTTTGCTCATTTTAAACTGGGATGTCATCTTTTAGTTGTTGAGTTGTATTAATACATATTCTAGATTAAGTCTCTTATCAGAGATATGATTTATAAAAATTTCTCTCACTCTGTGGGTTGTCTTCACACTTTCTTGATGGTTTACTTTGTAGTGCATGCTTCTCATCTTGATGAAATCAAGTTCTTTAAAAAAACAAAAAACAAAAAAAACTCCAAACGCCATTGTTTGTGCTTTTGGTGTCATGTCTAAGACAAGACAGTAAGAATGTACTCCTGTTTTTAAAGCACATTCTAGTTTTAGTCCCTAAATTCAAATCTTTGATCCATTTTGAGTCAATTTTTGTACATAGTGTAAGGCAGGGAGGGGCCCAATCTGTGTGTGCACGCACGTGTTTACACGCATGTGGCTATCCAACTGTCCCAGCAACATTTGCTGAAAAGATTATTCTTATCCCCAACAAATGATATTTGCACTCATAAAAACTCTGATGATCATTGACACAACATTGTAAAATGACTATAACTCAATAAAAAAAAGTTAATAAATAAATAAATAGCAAAAAAAAATCAGTTGATCATAAACACATGGGTTTATTTACTGACTCTTAATCCTACTTCAGTGATCAACAGGCCTAGTCTTACGCCAATATCACACTGTCCTAATTACCAGAGCTCTGTAGTAAGTTTTGAAATGAGGATGTGTGACTCCTCTTTTTTCCTTCATTAGGTTGTTTTGGCTATTCTGAGTCTCTTGAGTTTCTATATGCATTTCAGGATCAGCTTGTCCATTTCGGGGGGGAGCCACCTGGGGCTCTGACAGAGCTGGCATTAAGCCTGTAGGCTCCGCTGGGAAGCACTGCCGTCTTACCAGTGTTACGTCCTCCTGTCCGTGAATGCGGGGCAGGGCGTTGTTCACTTATCTAGGTCTCCTGAAATTCACGTGTATTCTTACAGGACTGAGTCCATACCCCTCACACCTCAGAAACCTGTAGCTCTCCCTCCTTATTTAGCTCTGCCACCTACTAAAACAGAAATATACAGAAATGCTGCTCATTTTCAAGAGAGCACTGAGGGCTCCACAAAGGATCTAGGGTTTCCTTGTTTATTGGGAATGCACTACTCAGGTATTGAAATCACTGAAGTTAAGTTTTCTGCTGTTTTCTGAGTGTTTTTTGTATAAAATTTATTGAAGAAAAAGGTGACCCATGAAATGGATGACCTTGCAACATACACATAATGCACACAATCCTATTCATAAATATAAGTATAGAGGACATGTGTATATAAGAGCACAGAGAACTCTGGGAAGATACACCAATTTGTTACAGCAGTCACTTCCAGAGAGGACAGAGCAACAGGATAGAGAGGAGGACTAGCATTCTTTACTTGCTTTTTTTTTTTTGGCCAAAAAATGTTTTCATGTGTTTCTGGTGTAATTTTAAATATAGAAAACAATAAACGTAAGCATGCCCCCGTAAAACAAGTTTTTCCAACACACATCACCCTAGGAGTATACGCTGACCTTGAGATCGCAGGTGGTGTTGAGCAGCAGGTTGGAAGGCTTGAGGTCACGGTGCAGCACGTTAGCTGAATGGATATATTTAAGCCCTCTGAGGATCTGGTAGAGAAAATAGCAGATATGGTCATTGCTGAGGTGCTGTGTCTTCAAGAGCTTGTAGAGATCTGTCTCCATGAGGTCCTGTACTATGTATCTGTTTGGAAAGGTCAAGGTGATGCACCAAAATAACTGGTTACACTTAGCAAAGCACTGAACACAAAATGACCCCAAATGGTCCATTATTACGTCCTGAGGCCCAAGAGGGAAATGAGGGACTGACGAGAAGGTGGTCTCCCTCGGTGGTCACTGACTCCTTTTCAGGTCCTGCGGGACAGCAGGCATTAAGCCTCCCTGCCTGTTGCGCGTTGCTGGCCTCACTGAGACCTGAGAAGGGCTGAAAGGGGTTTGGAGCCTCCTGTTCTCCCAGCTGTCTGCCAGCAACAAACGCCCCCAGGGACGTGCTGGGAAGGGCTGGGAGAGGGCGGCCAGCAGCAGGCACCCTCTCTTTGGCAATACTTGTATACCGTCCCCGTCCCTGTCCCATCCTTGTCCCGTCCTTCTCTGCAGAAATCAACCATAATACTTAGAAACACAGGCCAAGAACACAGCGCTACTAAATTCAACTCTCACCTACTGAGGCTTGACTCTAATGAACACTAAGGGCCGACACACGTGAGGCCACGACGACGTGCCGAGGACGGCTGCACTGGCTCTGCTGCTCCTGCCTCCTCGCCCTTCCGTGCAGCCAAGATCCAGAATTTCAGCCACAGCTAACTTCGTTCTTAGAGAAATTAAATGATAAAAGCCTCTAGCTTCTAACATCACCACAACGCCATTTCATCGGCAGTGCTCTCGCGTGTCCTTTAGTCACTTCTGTGTAAGAACTAAACACCTTAGACTCATGCGGGATGAGGCACAGAATGGGGCTCAAAGGAAACACGACTGGAAAACGCGTCATCTGAAAGACACTTGATTTTCAAAGCAAAAGGTAAAGCAGGACAACAGGTGGCAGGAGGAGGCATTTCACCAACACTGCAGCTTAGTAACAGCTGTTTAAAAACGGAAAGGGCTGCTTAGAGACAGTGGTTGCCGGTCGGTGCAGATGAGGGATGCAAAGGGGGTGACCTCGCAGGAGCACTGCGCTGGCCAGACCGTGGCCGCCCTCCAGCAGGACCTTCTCTGCACTCTTAATGCTTCTATCCTTCCAACAGTCTTCACCAGAGAGCGTCCTCTGGACCTGCTCAGGCCCACTTTCTAACTGTTGGTTGTAGGTAACGACCTAACCTCAGAGCTGAGCCGGCCTTGAAGAGCCCAAAGGCCGGCACCTCCATCTTAAAGACGAGGAAACTGAGACCCAGAGGTACAATGACACTCAGGCCAGGAGAGTCTGGATCTGACCAGTGCTACCCGAAGCGCCCTCCTGCCTCTGCTGCTCGCTCCTTTCCTCCATCATGAAAACCATGCAGTGAATGGAAAAAACATGACTTCAAGTGGTGGTAACCAAAATATTCTGTAACTGCATTTTTTAAAGGAAATCTTTACAAAAACTGACAGTGAAGATATTGAATTTGCCAGAAAGAGACTAAAAACAGTTACTGACAACTGATAAAATGCATCAGAGAAAGATGGAAATGGTGCAGGCATTACAGCAGACGGCAAGGAGAGTCCAATTTCCCCTTAAATGCGCTTCTTCGCTCTCCCTCCACCCTGGTGAGTGCTGGATCCGCCCAGTCACACCACTGAACCAGCTGCCCAAAAGGATACACATCCTTCATCTGCTCGATGGTTGGTGCTCGAATGATGTCATTGATCCCGATGATGTTCTCGTGTCTGAAGCGCAGCAGGATTTTGATCTCCCTCAGGGTTCTCTGGCAGTAGGTCTGGTGCTCAAAAGGACTGATTTTCTTGATAGCGACTCGGACTTTGTTGACATTATCATAGGCAGAGCTAAAAAAAAAAAAGGGGGGGGATGGCGTTAAAAACCGTTCTCAGACACCCTGGCAGAGGGTTAAATGTTTATCAGCACCCGGGGGAAATACTTGCTCCGTACACATGAAGGCGGCAGGAGTATTACTCACAGTGGGGGCCCTTGGCAAGGCCGCACAGCCGACTCTCAAACCTAACAGGCTGGCCGGGATCTGTGCGGGCGCCTTGTCATAACCCGGGAATACAGGAGTGTGCGCCACCCCATTCCCCCACTGCTTTCAACAGAAACTGCATTCTGGTGAGAGCCATCATTTCTGCCTCCAAAACAACTTCCTTCTGTTGAATCCGATTTCAGTGACTCAGCAGCAACATCCAACTGACCATCACCCACATCTTCATCCCTAAGAAAATGGACCCGAGAGGGCAACAAGGATGTGTAACGCAGCACAGGGAACTGTAGCCATCATCCTGTCCTAACTTTTCATGGAGCATCACCTGTAAAAACACTAAGTCATGAAGCTGTACACCTGAAACGAATACAGTACTGTGAGTCAACTATACTTCAATTTAAAAAGGGGGGGGGGGCTAAGAGGACGCATTGACTGCCTGCAACAACTGTGTCTTTACCTGAAGAATGACATGACTCTTTCTTTTCTCCCCACCCCAATAAATTTAATCAAGATGTCTGGGTAGTCTTGTAACAAAACCTTCGAAGTCTTGTTCAAAAAATACCTTCACAGCCATAACAGTTCCTTCCAAGCTGTCCTCAAGGTCTGACTTAATAGAATTCCAAGCAGAAGCAATAGTAATTGTATGTTCAATTTTATGATGAATTTTAACCTGGAATAGTATTACTATCTCTACAATCAATATTCTATTGAATCTTTTCTATAAGAGCTTTTCATATGAATAAATACCAACACCTGGCCCACTGAGGGAGCAGTGAAAGAACACTGATAGGCAGTACACAGTACTTCTTGCCTCCTCAGGATAAGTGCCAGAAACAAGAGGCAGTAAGAGAAGTCTGTGCCTCAACAATGATATCCGTCAGTCCACTTTGAGAATTCCTGACATCTCCGCCTGCCTCCATCCCAAGCCACACTGTAGGAGTGACCTTGTCTTACTCAGCTCCCACTCTCCACAACACCAGGCACCCCAATATTTTGAAGTGAAGTCTATTTCCTTAAATAAAAGATTCACTACCCAAATCTTATTTTGCTTTGATTTGCTGTATAAATGCCTAAACCACTGATTATCAAGTAGACGGGCAAAGGGATACGGCATTCAAGCAAACTTTTCAACGTTGGGAATGAATACTTTTAGAAATTAAAACATTTTTGGTAATTCAAACCATAGAGCATGAGTTCAAAAAAAGAAAACATAAGTTAAAATAGTTATAAAATATGGGTTTAAATTCAACATTGTCCATATCTAGTTATGCTGAAGCACGGTCGTCCGACGTGACCACAGATCTGCCTCTGGGGACAGAAGTGCTGGGGAGGGCGGCTCCGGCCAGTGCGCCTGCCCACAGCGTCAACGCTCCATAAGGGAGCAAGCACCCAACTGAGCCCTTTAGGTGAGGGCCAAGAGAGCATTCCCACAGGTCCCGCCGGGAAAGAGGGGGCCCATCCAGGGCACTGGGTCAGCTCCTGTCTGCTCTCAGCTTTGCTGCCTCTGCAGCTGACCCAGATGCCCAGGAACTGAGCAGAGCTTGCCCACAGCACCACGACTCCACATCTGCCCACTCCTCCTTGGATTCTTCAGTTTCACTTTATATACCTCATTTTATTGTTCTGATACTCAGCACATACATTTCACTGGTCTTACCTTTTACCAAGGGCTTTCTGGTGTCTCAATAGCTTTTACTTTAAAACCACTTTGGTATTACCAACCCTGGCTGTTTTCTTTTAAGACTTTAATCTTCGCTTTTTAAAAATGTATTTATTCTTTTAGAACAACACCCTTAACTCAGCACCGGTGAAGCGACACGTGCAGCACTAGGTCCCACAACCATCACCACATGCAGCTTCTGCTGTGGCCATGTCCCCCTGTAAGCATGTGGGCTGCAATCTGGGGTCTCAGTCCGGTCTGTGACCACACTGCCTCTGCAGGAGCTCAACCTAGATATTCACTTTTTCTTTTTAACTGGTAAACTTTTCAAAAACAAAAATCCAAGGTTAAATAAACTGCTCATGGTTAAGAATATGAAGAGAAGTAAAACCAAAACTAAAGAATCTCTTTTATAAGCACAAGCTTGAAAATCAACAAAAGACTAGTACATATAATTTGACAACACATAATAATTCATTATGTCCAAGTATTATTTAATCTTAGGAATTCAAGAATGGCTCAATTAAAAAAATTAAAAATAAGACATCATGTTGAGTACGCACTTTTCTCCAAAGAAGAACCACACGTGGCCAAAAAGCACTTGAAAAGTTGCTTAAAAATCACTAATCATTAGAGAAATACAAATTAAAACCACAACCAGACATCAGAATTAACACTATCAAAAAAACAAAAAATAACTAGTGCTGGAGAAGGTATAGAGAAACTGGAACCTTTGTGCACTGTTGGAATTATAAAGTGGTGGAGCCACTATGGAAAACAGTATGGAAGTACATCAAAAATTAAACATACAATTATCATATATGATGCAGAAATCCCATTTCTGGGGATATATTCAAAACAAGATCTCACACCCATGTTCATTACAGCATTCTTCATAATATCCAAGAAGTAGAAGCAACCCTAGTGTCCACTGACAGATGAATGGATAAAGAAAATGTTGTCTATATGCACCCTGGAATACGACTCAGTCTTGAAAAAGAAGAAATTCTCTCACCTGCTACAACATGTACAAACCTTGAGAACACTGTTAAGTGAAACAAGCCAGTCACAAAAAGACAAACGCTGCATGATTCCACCCATATGGGGTACCTAAATCTGTCAGACTCACAGAATCAGCAAACAGAATGTTAGTCACCACAGGCTGGGTGCAGGGGAAACAAGGAGATGGTGTTCAAGGTTACAGGGTTTCAGTTTTGCAAGATGAAAAAGTTCTGCAGATCTCTTGCACAATTGCATCAATATATTTAATACTATTTAACTGTATACTTAAGAATGACTAAAATGGTAATGTTTACTTTAAAAACTACAATTAAATTATTTAAAATACGAAGGGGGAAAAACACATGTTAAATGGGAAAACAGATGTCAAAAAAGAATGAACCAGTGTATGTGATAAAACTGCCCAGACCTACACACACACACAAACACACACAGGTACATATAAAATTAGTGACATGTGAATGAGGCCTGTACATAGTATCAGTGTCAGTCTCCAAGCTGTGGTATTGTACTACAGTTATGCAAGATGTTACCACTGCGGGGAAAACAGGACATTTTACTGCATTTGACTTAACAATTATCTCAAAATAAAAGTTTAATTTTAAAAAGATCCGTCAAATACGGGTGTGAACACTGATATAGTAGAATACTATGCAGCCAAGAAAAGGAACATGGGAAGAACTTCAACGTGTGTTAAGTGAAAAAAGCAAGGTCTAGCAGTGGAGTAATACACTATCTTTTTTTTCTAATAAGGAGTGAAAGTTTTTATATATAATAAATATCTCTGCATATGTGCATTTGTTTGTGTTTGCAAAGAAAGTCTGGAAGGATACACAAGGCAGTAATGAGTGGTGCTGGAGGTCGAGACAGCCTGCCAGGCTGGAGTGGGATAAACAGACAGCAAAACCCCTCACTGTGTATACCTTTTTTATATTGTTTCCATTGAAGAACCGTGTGAACCTTTTCAAAATATATTTTAAAAATTATTTTTAATTAGGAAAAAGCATAGGAGACATATTAGTAGAATGCTGGAATACTCTTTGAAGGAGAAAGCACAATTATTTTGGAATTCCTGACCAATATAAAAGTATTTGAAAAATAAAGAATACTTATTGGAAAGAGGTGCAAAATATCTCTAACCTCATGCCCTCCTGAGAAAATAATCTTTAAAACTGGAACAGGGTATATTATTTAAAACACACACACACACACACACACACACACACACACACACAAGCCCCCAAACAAAGGGGGGAAATTTATCCAGTGTTAAGTTATACTACAGGATACAAAGATTATAACTCATACTCTGCCCCTGAGGAACTCACGCTGTTGAGAGCACACAGTCACCTCACATAAGTGCACCCTCAAGTCCCAGAGGAATTCTGTCCTGAGATCCATAAATGGTGGGGAACAGGAGGCCAAGGCCAGAGGGCAGCACACTCAAGTCTCAGAACACATAGATTCCTGCTATTCAGCAATAAAAGGGAATAAACTATGTTGTTTATAGATGAATCACAAAGTAACTGTGCTGACTGAAGCCAGACTAAAAGAAAAGTACCTGTATTCAGATATAATGCAAACTCATCTAAGAGGCCAGAAAGCAGATCAGCTGTGTCTACCTGGGGCTCCTACCTGCTTTGGGGCGGGAGGGTGGGAGGATTACACAAATGGAAGGTAACTTTCAGAGGCGATGAGTATGCTCATTATTTTAACTGTGTTGATAGCTTCATGAGTGTACAAAACATCAAAACTGCACACTTGAAAACTTACACTGTATACTGTGCAGCACACTGTTTATCAATTACTTTGTAAGAGAGCGGTTAAAAAAAGGAACCAGGGCTCCCCGAATACATGGTCAATCTCAGGGCGGGGTGGCTGGGAACAGACTCCGGACCCCTAACCGACCATAAATGTGGAAGGAGAAGCCCATGAAACTCTGGAGGACGCTATTTAACAGATGTTTTGTGATCACTTAGGGAAGAAAAGGGGACCAGCATGAGTCAGTTATGAACAAGTCATGCTAACCTAGCCTCGTTTCCTGTTTTGACAGAGTTACCACAACAACAGGAGAGTGACGCCAGCCCCGGAGGGGATTCAAGCCACACTTGTCAGTACTTCCCACTTGGGAGCCTTCGTGTCAGGGTTGGTGGCAAAAACAAACAGGGGCC